AATGATTAGACGGGCTAAACCAACACAAAGGGAAGAAACCACAACAAACAGTCCACAGGGGCGTTACAATATGATTCAATCAACTCAGCAAAAACTACTGCCATTTATTATACCAATTCATTTAGGTTAGAATATCTTCTTTGTGGATGGGAATTACTGGCCGGATGTTAATGTGACAATGAATGGAGTGTGTTATTCAGAGCTTACATTTGCATAAATAGAGCTTACATTTGTGAATGCACACTACAGTATAAAAGCCCAACTTACATAGAAAATAGATAGTTGCTCCTAATTTATATATGTATGCAATCGCAATGTCCTGTACAGAAGATATGGGTGAAAATGAAAGCTGACATATTTCTGCTGCTGCTTGTATTGTTATTATCAGTGCAAAAACAGTCGCGTCTTATTTTTGATTATGCCGTTCAAAATATTGAGGCTGGTTAGATTTTAGAGTGTTTTTGAAAGAAGTCTCTTCTGCTAACCAAGGCTGCATTTATTAGATAAAAAATGCAGTAAAATAAAGTAATATTGTGAAATATTATTACAATTTAAAATAAAAATTTTTTTGTGGGAATATATTATAAAATTTAATTTATTCCTGTGATCAAAGCTGAATTTTCAGCATCATTACTCCAGTCTTCAGTGTCACGTGATCCTTCAGAAATCATTCTAATATGCTGATTTGCTGCTCAAGAAACATTTATGATTATTATCAATGTTGAAAACAGTTGTGCTGCTTCATATTTTTCTGGAAACTGTGATGCATTTTATTTCTCAAGATTCTTGAATGAATGGAAAGTTCAAAAGAACAGCATTTATTTGAAATAGAGATAATTTTTACTGTCACTTTTGGGCAATTTAATGTGTCCTTGAATGAATAAAAGTATTAATTTCTTAAATATATATATATATATATATATATTGCTGACCCCAAACCTTTGAACGGTAATTTATTTGATTAAAACTTATATATTTATAGTTATTTTGTCCATTTGCATCACGGTCAAATTGATCAAATATAAGCTACCATTATCAACATTTTGTTGTATTTACAGTGTTATTTTAGTATAATTGAGATACTATTTTAGTTTTTAGAAATATTTTAAACTAGTTTTTATTTTTATATTTTCCTTTATAATTTTCATTTTAGCTAAAGTTTGAGTAATTTAGTGTTTTTAATATTTTTAATAGTTATTGTTCTTTTGTCTAAATATATCTGTGTAGTTTCTATTCATTTTATGTATTTTTTATATTTTTATTTTTATGTTTTCACTTTAAAGTTGTAATAAATAAATGATATTTTAATATCAGTGATATATAATTTTATTAATTTTGTTTGGTGTCTGTCATTTATATTAGTTATATAGTTCTTATTAATTTTTTATAAATAGTTTTTTATTAATTTTAGTTTATTTAGTTTTAGAATATAAATTTAAACTAAATGAAAATGAGAAATGTTGCCTTAGCAACTAGCTGAAATAAAATAAGTTGAAGTTTTTTATATTTTATTTTAATCCAGTTAACATTTAGTTAGTTGCAATTAATGAAATTGTTTTTTGTTAATGCCTTTAGTTTCAGTTGTAGTTAACTATAAAACCCTGTGTGATGTTCATAATTCCTCTGGAATCGATGTTAATATCAGATCTCGTGTCTCTGTGTTTGTGTCTGTCAGAGCGCTGTGGCCATGTACGATGGGGCGAGGGTTCCCTCCCCTGAGGACGCCGCTAACGGGGTCCCGCTGCAGCCCGAGACCCCTGCGGCCACACATCACAAAGCTAATGAGGAGCCGGAGGAGAAAGAGGGCATCCCACCTGAGCCGGTCCTGGTGAAGAAGGCTCACCGTGAGATTCTGGACCATGAGAGGAAGAGGAGGGTGGAGCTGAAATGCATGGAGCTTCAGGAGATGATGGAGGAACAGGGGTGAGTGAACCACTGATGGGACCAAATATAGTGTGTGTTTGTGTGTGATTTGGTACTTTAAAATAAAGATTTAACAATTATGCATATGGTTGTCAGGTAGACATTAGCTCTGTTCTGAAGCCTAGTACTCTGCCTTGTTGTCTGCTATCTACTTGTTGTCTTCTACATCCAGTGCTGCATCCTAAATTGACAGGATCCTCATAAGTGACTCACCAGTGCTGGTATTATTAGATAAAACTAAAACTATAAAAAAATCAGAAAATCATTCATTAAAACAGAGAGGATTCAAAATAACATATATACTTAAAAACTTACTGAAATAAAATTGTAATAATGTAAGTCTCTCTACATTCTAAACGTATGAATTTGCATATATTTAAACATTTTGCAATATACTTCAATATTATTTTTGTGCTTACAGGATAAATCAATGATTTAAAAGTCAAATTTAAATGTATTTAAAAATGTTGCCTTGGCAACTAATTTAAATAATACATTTAGCAAATTATGTAATACAGTCAGTCTTTCTACATTCTGAACATATTCTGAATTTGCAAATAAATTAATATTTTGCAATATACTTCAAATAAACTATATTTTGTGCTTATAATCAACAATTTAAGATCAAAATGTTTATATTTTTTTATAATTTGCATTTACATTGACTCCTTCCACTGTCTTCACTTCAAAATATTTATTTGAAAACAATTTTCACTCAGAAATTGCTCCTAAATTTCACAAATAATTACAAAGAAATGGAAATTAACACATTGAATAAGGCATGAAAATTTTAAGTAGAAAATCTGAAATAGTATTTTCTTGTAAAACATACTCCAATAATCTATGTAAATTTGATTTACATTTCTGTATGAATTTGAAAATGACTACAATATCTGCGCTTTACAAAGGAAACGTGTGATGTTTTCATGTATGAGACGTCACATGAACAGACATAAAGGAGAATTTTATATCAGAGTGCATTGTTGCCTGTGCTGTTGTTTTATTTAGTCTTTGCATTACTTCTGATAGACAAATGCAGCGCTGGTATTTCTTCATGCATTGAGGCCTGAAACATCTTAGCACAAGAACAGAAACACTTTTAAATATTTCTTGAGCAAATATATATATGTATAAGGTAGACATTTATCAAGACTTTAAAAATACTGTAATATATAATATAAATAACAATGCCCTTTAAATTAGAACATTCTGTCATTATTTACTCACTTTCATGTTGCTTTTTCTTCTGCTGAACACAAAAGGAGATATTCTGATAAGTGTCTTTTTTTGTCCATACAGTGAAAGTCAGTAAGTTTTTTCAAAATATCTTAATTTGTGTTCGGAAGAAGAAAGAAAGTCACAGGTTTGGAGCAACCAGTTATTTAGCACTACTGTATTTATTCATATTTTTTTATTAGCTTTTCTTTTTATATTTCAGTTTTCATTTTTTATTTGACTTTAAAGGGGTCATGAACTGAGCAATCTAAATCTCCTTAGATCTTTTGACATAAGAGGTCATTGTACTATAAAAACTATGGAAGCATATAGGTAACAAAATTCAATTTAAAATGACATTTTAAAGTAAATTCAAATCGTTAAAACAGTTATTTGAAATGGTAATAATATTTCACAATATTACTGTATTTTTTAACAAAATAAATGGTCAGCTTGGCTAACTAAATGTAAATCTATTAAAACTAAATTGAAATTGTTAACTGAAATAAATTAAAATATTGTCTAATAATTTAAATATTTCTAATATAATGTTTTCATCTATATAAATATTAGATGAAAAACTTTAAGTTGTGAATTATGTAATACAGTCTCTCTACATTCTAAACATAAGTATTTGCATGTATTTGAATATATATTTAGTAATTTTTTGTGCTTTAACTTGGTGAGCATAAGATATTTCTTTCAATAACATAAAAAAATCTTACTGACCCCAAACTTTTTGAATGGTTTGAATTAGGGCTGCACGATTAATCGAATGTGATTGTCATGCGCATTTTGTCAGTAAAGCCGGTTCTGTAATCAGCAGTAAATATTCATCACGTGCTTTCAGATGGAGCAGAATTTACTACACATAGCCGTAGTTCACTGACAAGTTACGCAAAAAAAATCGCAGACGATTTTATTGCACGATTCTGAAATCGAAGAAATCGTTCGCGACAATGACAGCTGTTTGCATAGCTTCTCAGTGAACTACGGCTCTGTGAAGTAAATGCTGCTCCATCTGAAAGCATGT